CATCCATGTATACCAACTCGAATCCTGTGGAATACGATAACTTGCGACTTGAGGCAAGAAAACTAGATATTATGAAATTTAATCACTTCCTAGCTTGTTCATATATCGAAGCTTTCGATAATCGTTGAACAACGGCTCGAGATATTTGTAGATCTCCACAGACGTGAATGTAAGTCGAAGATACATAGCGCCTAGTGCTCGTGCATATCTGAAAATGCGCAACTACCGTCGAACCTCACAAAATAGGAGAAAATTTAAAGGAAATAAACACACTTACTTGCTTTGTTCTTGTTGTATGAACTCAATAATAATGTCCTTTTCGGGTTGAATCTGTAGCATTTTCAGGGCAAGACAAAGAAACGGTGTGGGTTTTACGTTCCCTGCATAGATTCCACCGATATACCGAAGATCAAGCGCTCTGTCCACAATAAGATCAGCTAAAAAAAGGGATTACAGAAAAGAAACAAAAAAGGAGCAGACAGCCGTTAAAAGGAAAAACAGCGTGAACTGACCGCTAAGTGCGAAACAGCTTTCCTTCCAATATTTACTGTCGTAGATTCGTTGGCGTATGATTTTTTCAACAAGAAACTGTGGATTTGTCCCTAAATAATCAAGCTTACAGATAAACTTGAATCACAAAGTGCAGCCATAAGCAAGGCACTGTACGATTGTTCATGAGCTTGAGTCAAGCAAAACGTGCATCTGGCACAAAACCACTCTCTTCTCTCTCTCCATCTTAGTGTTTACACTGTCCGGTGATTGTGGAGCTCAGGTGCGAATATGTGTGATAAGAAGCATTAAGAAGCATAAGCGATGCAATGGCATTGGAGAACTAATTATCACATGAAGTTATAAAGTAGGCAAAAGCGATATGAATGACTGCAATAGTCTCAGCTTCTTCATCAAAGGGAAGCTTTAGCAGTAGAGATCTGCCAGAAAGCGTTCAGGTATTATGTTCGCTGATAAGAAGCACTAAAAAAGCGAGAGAGAAGCTAGCAAAAACCTGATATTTAATACCTTAAAACCATATACTTATTCGACAAGGAGTGAAAGCGTGAAAAAAAATGACAGAGGAGCGGAAGATGACTAAAAAACTAGTAAAGGATGAAAAGGAGAAAAACTAGTTGAATGTATCGAGGTCACGTTCACAAGCAGCGTTGAAACATCCCACAGCTGACGCGAAGGAAGAATATTCATAGGATTGCGACCGAATTCACTACAAATTCACGTTCCCCACAAGCACGATCTTGGCATTTTCACTATACTCAAAGTGCCAGGTTTTCTTATACCATGTAGGCTTACAGCAACCAAATAAGGAAAACCGTGCACTTTCAAGGGATAAACCTAATTTTCTATGAGTGCATTTAATTTACTGCAGAACGCCATTACTCGAACTTAACACATAAAAGGAGTGAGGTTCACTAGGACAGAAGACGACTTTTTCGCTGGGGGAACCTCAGGGGCCGTAAGGTATGCTTCCCGAAGGGTTAGGGGACGAAAAGTTCCTTTAAATTTTCTCTGTAGTCCCAACTGGGATTGTCCTGATAAAGGGCCTACATCTAATATATGTGTGTAGCTTAAAGTAACATGCATTGAAAATAAAGAAACAGTATCGTTCAAAACAAAAAATTTAAAGGGACTTTCGTCCCCGCAACCATTCGGGGAAGCATACCTTACGGCCCCAGGTCCACCACTGACCATCAGTGGACCCGAGGGACCCGAGGTACCCGCGGCAAAAAATGTTTCGCGCTGCAAAACGCGAAAAAGTCGCCTTCTGTCCTCGTGAACCACACCCTCACAAACGCAGGCCGATCGGCAACATGACCTGGTTGTTTGTAAATTAGAAGAAAGAAACAGAGAAACAATGAGGAAAAAAACCCAACATGAATGAAACAGATAACCAAAATAAAGAAATAGTGTGCAGAGGAAGGAAATAGGAAACGACGAATAGAACAGAAAGTAAAAAAGGGTACCGTGCTTATAGGAACTTAAATAAACTCTTCGTCACCAACCTTTGACTGTATGTGCTTCCTTCACTGTGCGGTTTGCCATCTGTGAAAAAAAAATTTGGACAAAAAGGAGAAATTACTTGAATTCTAACTAATGAGATCTAAATTAGGACACTCAGATAATCATGTGCAGTGAAACAGTGACAACAAGGTGAAGAAAATGAAGAGTAAAGTTTTATTTTCATTTCCAGGAATCTTCCATCAATAAACAACGAGAACAGAGTTCCACAATACAATAAATACAAGCAATTTAACAATTGGGTTGAATTAGTATCCCTTTTTCTTGACGATCTCAGGCCGCCAGACAATAGGATGAG